CAGGAGACTCAAGTAGATACGTTGTCTGAGTTTACATAACATTTCTGGGCAAGAATGTGAAGCTAAGAATCCAAACTGGTGTTTCATTTCATGTTCCACACTGCATACTTATGAAAGGGGAAAAGGAAGAGTAATTTTGGACATTTGAAGTACTGGGGGTGTGGAAAGTGTGTGAGTATGAGGCAAGAAAGCCAGGGGAATGTCCCTCAGTCAAAGTGCTCTCTAACATTCATTTCCGCCACTCCCTGGACTCTGGAATCTCTTATCTTAAAAGGGGGGCTGGCCAACGACTCTGAGCTTTGCAAACTATGGGAAAGGGGGAGAGAAACATCCAGAAATTTCAAAACAGTTTCTGAGGCAGATTTAGGATCCACTGGAAGCTTCATTTGACACAAAATCACACTATTTGGTGTTTAGGCTATTTTAGTCTGTGAGCTCATAGGACTGAAAACAAATTCTGGGAGGAGGAGTCATTTATCTATTGTTTCAAATTTACCATTTATCTGTTCTCATTTGGAATCCAAAACTGTATTCCATGTTATTACCACACCATTCTCACGCTTCTCTTTGAAGGGATTAGGACTTTTATTATACCAGAGATGTCTCAGTACCAGAATGCCAAGACCAATGATCTCTCATATGCTAAATGAGGAATGTCTTTGTTAGCTGTGAGAGGATTAAGGGTAAAAATTACTCGTGTGGGGAACCAGACATTAACCAATGATTCTTTAATCTCTTTTGGTCTGGGATTTCTCATTAGTTAAGTGAGAGGGTTAAATTGTTATTAGTGGCTTTCTAAGCTTTTTAACTATAATCACAATAAATACCATAAGTATGTATATATTTTAGTTTTTTTTTCACTGAATTGTTCTTACTCATACAACATTCCTTTAAAAAAAAAATGTGAGTCAGGCACCATGGCTATATTTGTAATTCCAGCAGCTTGGGAAGCTGAGGCCAGAGGACCGCAGATTCAAAGCCAGCCTCAGCAACTTAGCAACACTCTAAACAATTTAGCAAGACCATGTCTCAAAATAAAAAATAACAAAAGACTGGGGATGTGGTGCACTAATTAAACTCCCCTAGGTTCAATCCCTAGTATTAAAAAAAAAATCTGGTTGTGGTTATAATCTATTAAGTTGATTTTAAGAACTACTAAGGGGGATTTTTGAAAAATCAGTTTGAAAAATTCTTTATGGTGATTTCTAAGTCATCATTCATCAATGACTTGTCAGTTTAATGGGTATCTATGAGCTAGGAAAATGGCATTAAAAATCTCCTTAGGAAGCTTACATTCTGTGTGATGTGTAACACACAAACTTCAAAGAGAAAAGGGAATCTCAATTGAATTAGTAAATCCATCAAATGGGTTTGATTTAAGGGATTGAAAAGCTGCAGAAATACAAGTTTCCCTCAAATCCCAGCCAAGAGGTCACAGCAAAACTAAAATAGCCTAAACCTCAAATGGTATGATTTTGTCAAATGAAGATTTCCTGTGGGCCCTAAATCTGCCTCAGAATCTATTTTAAAATGACTAGATGTTTTTCTCCCCTTTCCCCACAGTTTGCAAAGATCAAAGTAGTTGACTAAGATAAGAGATTCCAGAGTCCAGGGAATGGCGGAAATGAATGTTAGAGAGTACTTTGACTGAAGGACATTCCCCTGGCCATCTCATTCTCAAATTCACACACTCTCCACACACACCCCAGTACTTGCAAACCTGCAGTTGTGTAACTCTGCACACCAATCCTGCCCCAGAAATCATGCTATACCACTTTTACCCAGCAGAGGGAAGTGGAACACCAAAATGACTGCAGAAATAATCCAGGACACAAAGACAGCCATTTGGTATTTGTCCTGTGAATTCAGGTAGTGAAGAGTAAGAACATCATAGGATTGAAAACAAATTCTGGGTGATGCCAGTTCTGGGAAAAATATATGAAGAGGTGACTGCTCTTATTTTAGGTGACTAATCATGGCCTGTCCCATCAGGACATCTCCCATCAGGATTCCCTGGGAGGCACCTTATCAAATGAGGCTCTCTTTTAGGCTTGGCTGCTGGTAGCCTGACCTTTCAATTTTTTCCCATTCTTCATGCTTTGAAACACCTGTTAAAATCATGCAATGTCTCTGTATTCTTCTGAGTCCAGGCTTTATGCAATGACCTTCCAAACCATGGCACTTTTTACTTTAGCTGCCAGGGGTGGTTCTTAATGCTTTCTTCAATTCCACAAAGTAGGAAATGTGGGTACAGGCTGAAGTGCAATGTGTGCTCAGTGGTCATGTTTGGGAGAAATGAGATCCATTTTTATTTTTATTTTTAGGTAAATTACTTTTAGGGAATTGAACCCAGGGCTTTGAATATGCTTCCACTGAGCTATATTTACCCAGCCCTATTTTACCAAAAATAAATAAATAAATAAAAAGTTATTTTTTTGTGATTCATCATTCTAGAGACTGGGAAGTCCAAGAGCATCGTTCCAGCATCTGGTGAGGGCCTAGGCTACTTCCTGGCATTTGGAAAAACAAAGGACAAGCAGAAGAAAACAAGCATGAGAGGCACTCTCATTTTATCACAGTCCTTGTGATAACCAATTCAGTCCTATGAGAGTGAAACCTCAGTCATGAGAGAAAGGCATTAATTTATTCATGAGGGCAAAGCCCTTTTGACCTAATTACTTCTTAAAGGTTCCACCTTCCAATACTGCTACAATGGCAAATTTCAATATGAGTTTCAGAGCAGAGAAACCATATTCAAACTATAGTAGCAACACTACCTGGTTTACCCTTCTCAAAGGGGATGGCATTTTTATGAAGCCACAGAATAACAGAAGTTTTCTTCACCTATGCACTTCTGGAGTTCAAATGTAGTTAAAACACACTCCATTAACCATGTAGCTAGCAAATTTTTTTTTTTTTCTGAAATAGATAGGTACCTGTCAGAAGGCATTCCTCAAATAGAAACAGATGCAATAATGAACAATGGACTTAGGTATGACTCACCCTCCAGTCCAACAAGCTCCTTCCCTATCCAACCCAGGGAATATATATCTAAGTATAACCATGCAGTTAGGTAAGAAGGACATTTCTAAGTGTATCCTCATGCCAGGGAATTTATTTTTATTAAGAGAACTGGGAGGGAGGGATCATATAACTTGTAAGAGTTTAAGATTATCATGAAGACTCAGTGAAAATTAGTTACCAGTGAATCTGGGTGTTCAGCATCAATGAGGTAGAGAGAAGTGGGACAGGGCACTTTCATTTTGAAAGGTTGAACTTGCCATCTTGAATAATTCTCCTATTAGTTGGTGTCCATCTTAGGTCAGTGGCCAAGATAAAATGCAATAAATAGGTATGTCTGAAGTTTTCAATAACTTTAGGAATGCAAATCAATTCATGGAAGTTTTTTAAAAAATATTTATTTTTTAGCTGTAGTTGGACACAATACATTTATTTCACTTATTATTTTTATGTGGTGCTGAGAATTAAACCCAGGGTCTCACACATGCGAGGCAAGCGCTCTACCGCTGAGCCACAACCCCAGCCTTCATGGAAATTTTTTCTAAATCTTTAAAACTCCTTGCATTAGGTTAAGATTGTACCAACAGAAAAGGATAAATGAGTTAAAGAAAAAAAGTTCAAGAACAGGAAACAGGAAAGGAAGAGTTAGTAATAAACTTTTTGGGCCGGGTACCAATAACTGTTTTAGTTGCCACTTAGTGCATTCATGTTCTGGGTCCCCTGTGCTTCACACCAATCAGTGAAAACCAACAGGATGAACACCAATAGGATTTGCTCTGACAAGCACCAATAAAAGTAAAGCTGCTGTCTGTATTAGCAGTAAACTAATGACCCTGAGATATGCCTTCCCTGTCAGTCTTACTATTCTGTCATGTTCCTAAATTGACTGGTCAGAAACACCTGTTATAAAAACCAGACTCTTGGGCTCCACTATAGACCTATTGAATCCAAATCTCTGGGCATCTGAAATATGTTTGCTTATTTTTATTTTTAAGCTCCTCAGTGTGAATGTATAGCTATCTTTATTTTTTTCCTGAAACGTTTTGGGAATAGGATTACATTTCTTTTAAAGAAAAATAATCTAAAGAAGTTTTGTAAAAAAGTACTAAATACAAAAATATCTATGATGAAGAAAATATATTCCCTCATTCAATTTACTTGCTTATTCTCAGGACTCAGTCTTTCTCTTTGAAGGAACTGCATTCCACCCTGTGGTTCCCATCTATTCATTGCTCCTGCAGTTATAAACCAGAAATTGAGAGATCTTTTCAGTTCAATTCTCGGCACTATCCTAGTGCACTGAGACCTACAGCAAATATGAAAGATCGTGCCTGAAAGAATGGAAAGTACGCTGAGAGTCAGGAACTGACAGCAGAATGAAGAAAGCTGAGGGGGTTAAAATAATAATAATGCAGCAGTGGAAGATAGGGATGAGATGGCTCTCTTAGTTCATTGGCCGTCCCTGAGTAACAGAAATGCAACTATGAATAATCCACAGCCCCCGCGCTCAAGAAGCAGGAGTTTGGGATAATTAACACCGTTCACTCGGACCAACCATTTACACTTCTGTGTGAATCTGGACAGCAGCCCTTTCCCAGAGTAGAGAGAAAAGAGCGCCTGAACTCATGGTACGAGCTTGGCGACGATTGGGGTGGAGGGAAGGAAGAAACTTCCGTCCCTTCCTCTGCAGTTTATATAAAGACGTGCTTCGACCCCTGACTTCGCTGCACGAGCCAACACTTGCCTAACTGTACCCATCTCTTCCCACCCAGCCATCAGCTTCCACATTGCAACTTCTAGGCGCCTGGGAGGAGGATGGGCGGGGTGAAGCAGAAGGGGCGGGGCCACCTCCTCTAGGCCCACGGACCCCACCCTAAGTCCCAGTTCACATTACCGCGAGAACGTGGAGGGCCCCGAGCGGCGCACGCGCAGACCCGTCAAGCCCGCACTTCAGGTCCCGCCCACCTTCGCTGGCGGGAGCTGTTTGGCGTTACCATGGAGCCTGCCCCGGCCGGAGGACGCTGCTTGTCGCCGGGGCAACCGGGAAGGACAAAGCTTGACCGAGCTGGCGGCGGCCACACCGGCAGCGATGGTGTCTAACCCTGTGCATGGCCTGCCCTTTCTCCCGGGCACGTCCTTTAAGGACCCCACGGTGAGGACTTGTGTGCCCACCCCCACCTATCCCCGCCTTCCGAATACCTAGATGGGCTCCCACTTAGTGCTCCTCCATTCTCCACCCGAGTCAAACCCGTCTTCTGCCCGGAATTCTCTCTTCAATGCAGTTCTGTTGTTCTCTTCTACACAGCCTCATCCGCTGTCCCGTATCCTTTGCCACCCCTCCATCCCTCTTTTCAGTTTTTGCACTGATCCCTTTTTCGTTCTCATCCCCTTAGTTGCGTTCGTACTGCTGTGTTCCTTCAAACCTTCCCCTTTTTCCTCTAAATCAGTTCACCGCACCCAACTCCCAAGCTCCCGTTAGGTCCTCACCCTAGTTCCTTCTCTCACACCATACTCTTGTCTCTGCTCAGCTCATCCCTGACCTCCGATAGCCTCCTTCCTTTCGCCCGCTCAACACCTCTCCACCTTCATCCTCATCCTACCCGTTTCCCCCAGACCCGTCATTCTCGCCCTGCCTCCTTCCTCTTCTGAATCCTGGATCCTAATCTTTACATTCCCAGCTCTGTTTCCTGTCTTGGATGTAAATGGTTTCAATCCCCTTATTTCCATCGTGCCCTTTCACATAGTCTCCGCCCTTCGCGTTTCAGCTTCTATGCAACCTCATCCTTTTTCTCTCTCCAGCTTCCACATTTTGTACTGTCTAATCCTACACTCTGTCCATCTTTGTTTTCTGTTTCCCTTGCAGTTTCTCTTCAAAATTTGCTATCTTCTTCCCAAACTATCACCCAAACCATCTCTGCTTTGTAGATTTCCCGTTCCCCTCAACCTCAATGGGTTAAGTGCTGTTTCGTCTTCCCTCAGCCCTATACTTTCACTCTAACATTTTTGTAAAAAGCTCCTGTTCAGATTGTGTTTTGCTTCCCCCAAACTCAAGTGTTTGTTGTCACATTTTCTAAACAAAATTATTTAATATTTGTTTCAGTTCTAACAATGTTACTGAATTATATGTTCTGCAAAATCAATATTGAGATTCAGTATACTGATTATCATAGATGAGCCAACGGTAATTTATATGAATATAGTTTAGTAATTTAGACTCTTAATTCCTCTCCATATTCACATAGCTAAGGTAAAATATTTAGTCAACATATTTTCTTCAGGAAAATAAATTTAAATTTAAAATGAAAGTGTAGTGAGAGAATTTGGGTTCTCTCTCCTTTATTAAGACACGGCAGCATAGATTTTCAGTTTCATTGGGTTTCCAGTTTTATGTAATTTAGAAAATGTTATAGGAATTTTACTGCCCTGTACAGAATCAGCTTAAAGGCAGGCTTGAGTTGATTTGGGGGATTACAGAGATGTGAATGGAAGTGCCAGGATCTAAAGGTACTTATTGCCATTCTATAAGTAAGGCGAACTGTGCAGTGGTTATATTTCATGTTTTAAATACACTGGCCAGGTGTTAACCAATTTGCCTTATTTGAAAATATGGTCACTGTATCTTCAGCAGCGAAGTAATAGGTATATATAACTCTGAAGGTGAATATATATATTCAGAAGGTGAATCATAATGAGTGAGAAGGGTAGAGAGGCCTTGCCATGGGGTGCACCATGGGTCATAGCTGAGTGATGATAGTGATACCTTGTTGAAAATGAAGAAAGCAAACAAGTCACTGATGTTGCTCTTTTATTTTTTTGGTTGCTGAGGACAAAACCCAGGCCTAGCACCTGCTGAGCATGCACTCTACCACTGAGCCTTAGCCCCTTCTGATATTGTTTCTACCTTTAGAGGTAGAAGAAGAGGTGCTTGATGCTATACAAGTTACTCAATGAGGAAATCAATTCAGCCCATTTTGGTTTGTATCTTGTGTGTTATGCACTTGAGCAGTTATGTCAAGTGACTTGTGGCACTAAACACAAGACCCTTTATAAAAAGTCCATAGTGGCCAGGCGGGGTGGTGCATGCCTGTAATCCCAGCTGCTCGGGAGGCAAAGGCAGGAGGATTATGAGTTCAAAGCTAGCCACAGCAATTTAGTGAGGCACTAAGCAACTCAGTGAGACTCTGTCTCTAAATAAAATACAAAATTGGCTGCGGATGTGGCTCAGTGGTCGAGTGCCCCTGAGTTCAATTCCCAGTACCAAAAAAAAAAAAAAAAAAATCCACAGTACATAACTCTTTTAGCAAGAGAAGTTTATTCTGTTGTACCTTTCATGTTGGTACAGATTTTAAAAACTGGTAGGCAGGGCTTCAAAGAAATTAGAAGATAAACAAGTAGGTCTTTTGTATTTTGTATTTTATTTTTTTTGTATTTTGGTACTGGGGATTATTCAGGGGCACTCAACCACTGAACCATAGCCCCAGCCCTATTTTCATTTTATTTAGAGTCAGGATCTCACTGAGTTGCTTAGTGCCTCGCTTTTGCTGAAGCTGGCTTTGAACTTGCTATTATCTTATTTCAGCTTCCCAAGCCTCTAGGATTATAGGTGTACGCCATGGTGCCCAGCTTTTGTCTTCTTAAATATGTATTTTGCAGTTAATTCCAAATTATACATGTAGTTAAGTATTTTACATATAAAAATTTGAAAGTAACCTCATATTACAAAGAATGGAAAAAGGAAAAATTAATCCAATTTGCTTTTCTACTCTTTCATTTTTTTATTTATCTTTATTTTTTCTAACTATTGAGAATATGTTCATTGTATATATATAATATATAAAAATAAAATACATAAAAATCAATATAATTAAAAAATGTATAATATAGACAGAGAATGTTTGCCAATCCAGTCTCTCTTCATATTTGCATGCTCACAATTGTAGTATGATTTTTTTAGTCTTATTAAGTCATAAATCATTTCCTCCAGGTTTCTCTGTGATCTGTAAAGCCATTATTTTAATGACTGTGTAATAGTCCATTACTGAGTTTTCCATCATTTACTCATGTCTTCATACGTTTGTCTTTTAAATTGTTTCCAAAGTTTTACTGTTGTAAATAACATTCTTATGGGATGCTCGAGGCATATAGTTCTTTCCCATAATTTTGTATTATAACCTTAAAATCAATGATCAAGAGTAGAATTATTGAGTCCAAGAATTTAAATACATGCTATCTAGTTGCTTTCCAAAGAGTTTTATGAATTTATCAGTGTGGTACATAAAAACAAACAGGGCTTTTAATATAAAGCACTTTCTAGTCCAGGTAAAAATATAATTCACAGACCTTTGTCTTCTGGGTTCCATGATTCACAATCACTGAGAAGATTAAAAAACATAGAAAAACTAGTAAAAAAATTAAGTGGATAGAGGAGCCCAGCATGGAGACACACACCTGTAGTCCCAGCTACTTAGGAGGCTGAGGGAGAAAGATCATCTGAAATCATGAATATAAGACCAGCATGGGTAACACAGTGAGACCCTGTCTCAAAAACAAAAACAAAAACAAAATGCAGATGAGATAGTATTTTAATCTTTCATGTAAGGTGAGCTGGTAGTTAAATTGAGCATTATAGAGAAAGATTTTAAATTTTAACATCTAGTAGTTCTTTCCCTCCTCATTCCTAAGTGTTTTAGTTTAAAATACAGAAGCTTTTAATGTAGGTAAACTTTAAGATGTAAGTTTTGTGATGTTTATAAGCAAAGGTTTGAGTTATAATATTTTTAAAATATTTTATATAACAAACATATAATGTTATTAATGACATATTTCTTTTCTTCTCCAGAAAACAGCTTTCCATAGAAGCCAGACGTTGGGCTACAGGAACGGCTATGCAGTTGTTCGACGTCCAACAGTTGGGATAGGTGGGGAGCGGTTACAGGTCAACCAGCTGTCTCCAGCAGAGCTGGATGAGTTGGCCAATAAAGCACCAGTTCTAACTTATGGCCAACCTAAGCAGGCCCCACCTGCAGAATTCATTCCAGCACATGTAGCTTTTGACAAAAAGGTATCACCTGGGATTCTAGGGTACCCTTGAATTTAAATGCCTGAAAGCCAACTGGCTACAGAAAACTTAAATAGTCAACCACAGGATTCCCACAGTGCTCTCTGGAGAAAATTGTTTAAATGCCTTAACCCTTACTCATAGACAGCTGAACTCAGGCTTGAAAGAAGCTTTCTTTAGTCAGGAAGTTGATTACAGAAAATAATTCCCTGTAGACCTCACTGGAATATTTGCAGATACAATTAAAGAAAAGTTGGTTGAATCCTAGAATAGTGAGTTCATATTGCCCTATGTTTACCAGCTCTATGTTTTCTGTTTCTTAAAAGTACTCTATTCTGCAACAATGAGAGGTGTTTATTCTTTATGAAATGCAAAATATCATCTTAAAAACAATGACCCCATCTATTGTCAGTTTTCTCCAGGCTGTCTCTATAAATTTTTGTTTTTCAGGAAACACTTTACATTTAAATGTTACATAACCAAAGGGTCATAGAAAATTTTTGTTTGTTTCTCATTTACTCTTATGCTTTTGCAGTGTGAGTTGCTTTATTTCCATCTCTTGATATTTCCACATCATCCTTTCTTTTCTTTCCCAATCTTTTTTTCTCCTAAAAATCCTCTTTCTTATTTTAGGAACATGGTCATACATCCATTCATGGACTGAACCTAAATATGCACTGAATAAATTATAAATTATATAATTGGCTATATTATTCCCATTTGCTTATTTTTCTTGTTTATTCATAGCCTTAGCAGGCATTGATAAATCAGTATAGAAGAGAGAGAAGTGAAAATACAAGAGAAGGGTACATTAGGGATTTAATAATTTATCAAGAAATCCTTGTATGTTCATTTTTTCTAAAAAGAATAGTAAATGATTATAATAAAGTAGAAAGTGAGGGGCTGGGGTTTTGGCTCAGCAGTAGAGTGCTTGCCTAGCACGTGCAAGGCCCTGGGTTCAATCCTCAGCACCACATAAAAATAAAATGAATAAATAAAATAAAGGTATTGTGTCCAACCACAACTAAAAATAAAAATAAAATTAAAAAAGTAGAAAGTGATATAAGAAAATATTGATGAAATTCAGAGAAGGAAAATTTGTGCCTGAATAAGGAAATAGCATTTTTGCTTTTAGTTATTTTATATTAATTGTTATTAATTTATGCTTATTTAATATTATTCTTTTTTATTTTTATTTGTTTTTAGTTGCTGATAGATCTTTATTTTATTTATTTATATGCGGTGCTGAGAATCAAACTCAACCCAGTCCTCACACATGCCAGGCAAGTGCACTACTGCTGAGTCCCAGCCCCAGCCCCTAATATTCTTCTTCTTTTTTTTTTATTTTTTAGACTGGGGATTGAACTCAGAGGCACTTTATCATTGAGCTACATCTCCAGCTCTTTTTTACTTTTTATTTTGAGAAAGGATCTTGTTATATTGCTGAGGCTGGCCTTGAATTTGCAGTCCTCCTGTCTTATCCTCCAAGTTGCTAGTGTTATAAGGGTACACCATTGCGTGGCTCATTGGCACTATCTTTAAGAAATGTATTGTGGCCGGGCACAGTCACACATACCTGAAATCCTAGCAATTCAGAAGCTGAGATAGAGGACTGAAAATTTGAGGCCAGCCTGGGCAACTTAGTGAGATACTGTCTCAAAATTTTGAAAAAAGGCTGGGGATGTAGCTTAATAGTAAAATGTCCCTGGGGTTAATCACCAGTACCAAAAAATAAAAATAAAAAAGGATAGTATACATAAATAATATTATTATAACATTCATATATTTATTTTCCAGCTTATTTATTTTTATCTTTATGATTTTTAGATAAATAATCTTTATCATAGATATGAGACAGACAGTAGTTAAATGCATGGTTTTGAAATTATTTTGTTTATTTGTGGGCTTTTCTGAATTAAATCAGAATTCAAATGTTTTAAAGACTATCTTGAGGTCCTTTTTTTCATTTTTTTAAAATTTTTTGGTAACAGGGATTGAACTCAGGGGCACTCAACCACTGAGCCACATCTCCAGCCCTGTTTTGTATTTTATTTGGAGACAGGGTCTCACTGAGTTGCTTAGTGCCTTGCTGTTGCTGAGGCTGGCTTTGAATTCATGATCCTCCTGCTCAGCCTCCGGAGCTGCAGGGATTACAAGGCATGTGCCACTGTGTCTGGCTGGAGGTTCATTATTGATAACCAACATATTTGTTCATATTTTGGATATTCTTGAGGCTGTTCCTCATAGACAGAATATAACTTCATTTCTTCTTAGGTGATAAAGAACAGGACATTTTCTACATCTACTGTGAATCCCCTCATCTTTTCTCCTTGTTCCCATATAATTTTTTCTATCATTACACATTGTATTCTTTATTTCAGGCTAACTTCCTACTCTGTGTACCTGATGTTACTCTTCTTCCATCTTTTCATCTTCAACTTTCGTATTTTCATTTCAAACAAATATGGTATCCTTGTCTAGCTAAGAAACAATAGTAATAACAAAACCTCCTTTTACTCTGTGATTTCTTTAAGCAAGAAACTTTCTTTCTCAGTGGAATATCAGATAACTTACAATCTGACTTTCCCTGTCCTCAATCTCAAAACTCCTTTTTCCTGAGTAGCTAGTATTATCACTTCTGTGGCTCAAATGAGCAACTAGACAACTGTTAATGTAGGCTCATACGTAGTTATTTGCTTATACTAGGTCTACCACCTCCTTTATTCCCTGAAGCACAACTTTGATTCTATCACATCTTTAGTAAAATGCTTTCTGGATCCTTTAACGAATACTGTGAACATTATCACCACCCATCTGGCTGCTCTGACCCCAACTTGAAAGACATCTTTCTTTAATCCTTCTTTTTCCTCACAACTCACATCCAATCAATTAATAAGCTCTATTATTTTTAACTAATCTGTCCACGTTTTTCTATCTTCAATATTATAAATTCACTTTCCATACAGCTTATCTTTTAAAAATTGAACTATGTTACATATTGACCATGGCTGGCTCCATGACTTCCCAATCATATGTAAAGTAATATTCAACTGTACAGTTTCCTCCTTCCCCTTGGCCTAGATGGCCCTCCCTGCTGTTTTCTTACTCTTTCCCTCATCTATTGTGTTTGAATAATAATGGATTTCTTTTCCCTTGAAGTGGCAGAACTTCCCCCACCCCATCCCCCCATTTCAGGGTCTTTGCACATGCTGTTCCTCCAATCTAGATGGTATTCCTTCTGATCTCAGGTGGTTCACTTTGTCTTATCATTCATATGCCTTACCTGAGGCTTTTCCTGACCACTGTACTAAGGAAATCTCTATTTTCTCTGTTGTTTTCCTCATGGCACTAATTTCTGGTCTCTGTTATTGTTGATAAGCTTAACATACAACCCACACAGGTAAGAGTAAAATTAAAAGAATGTAACAAGGCTTATTATTTTCATTGTATATGATATGGAAATATTTATTCAGGATTTCCTCCTTCTGGAAATAAACACAAACATTTCCATGTTTATTTGTGTTATTCTGAGCACTTCCTGGAAATCAGAAGAACTGAGTTCTAATTCTGGTCTTCTACCAAAAGCATTGTAACCCCAGAAAGTCACAATCTCTAGTTTACACATCTATAAACTCAGAAGGTTAGAATCTATAACTAGGAGCCCAGGCTGCTATAAAAAGTTCATGGAAAATACATTTTAAAACACATAAATATTTTGAAATATAAATATTTTTCCTTCCCTTTTATATAGTACATCAAATTATTCTACTTGATGTTATCCCAACTGCTTGCTAAATATCATTTTTCCCATCCAAATTTTTTAATGGTGCATTGTAGTTGTACATAATGGTGGGATTTGTTGTTACAGATTATTACAGTCACACAATATAACAATAAGATTGGCCAATATAATTCCCCAGTATTTCCCTTTTCCTTTCCTTCCTCCTTCCTCCTGGTTTTTTTCCTGTACTCTACTGATCTCCCTTCAATTTTCATGAGATCTATCCCCCATCTTTCTTTTCCTTTTTCCTCTCTGATTCCCACATCTGAAGAGAAAACAATGACCCTTGACTTTCAGAGTTTGGCTTGTTTTGCTTAAAAAATGTTCTCAAGTTCCATTCATTTTCCTACAAATGATATAATTTCATTCTTTTTTATGACTTACTAAAACTCCATTGTATATATACCACATTTTCTTTATCCATTCATCTATAAATGGCTGGTTCGATGTTTTAGTTATTGTGAATTGTGCTACTACAAACATGGTTATGCATGTATCAGTACAGTATGATGACTTAAATTCTTTAGGGTTGATATTGGGGAGGGGTATAGCTGGTCATATGGTGGTTTCATTCCTAATCTTTTGAGAAACCTCCATACTGATTTCCATAGTGGTTGTACTAATTTATAATCCCACCAACAGTGTAAAATTGTTCCTTTTTTTCTGTATCCTCTCCAGCATTTATTATTATTTGTATTTTTGACGACTGCCATTCTGACTGGTGTGAGATGAAATCTCCATGTAATTTTGGTTTGCATTTCCCTAATTACTAATTATGTTGAACATTTTTCATGTATTTGTTGGCTATTTGTATTTCTTCTTTTGAGAAGGGTCTGTTTAATTCATTTGACCATTTACTAATTGGATTATTTGTGTTTTTGTTAAGTTTTTTGAATTATTTATATATTCTAGTTAATAATCCTGCTAAAGAGATTTTTTTCTTATTATCTTCTTTTGCAGTGATTTCTTTACTAAAAGGAGCACAGACACTATACTTGATTACCACTCAACAAATGAGGACTTTTTAGGTTAGAGTATTCTTTACCTGAGACCTAATTTATTAACTTGGTTCTCTGTATCATGAATTACATATTGAAACTGTTATTTTACCAGTTGTGTAGATTTTATGGCAGAGGAAACTTAAGTACTTCTTTTATAGTCATATTTACCCCCCATTCTGAGGCCAAGTTCCTGTCACCAGATGCATCTACACGCCTTCCAATTTTAGAAAACAGACAGTTTAAGAAAAATGACTGTGGGGCTGGGGTTATAGCTCAGTGGTAGAGTGCTTGCCTAGCCCGTGTGAGCCACTGGGTTCAATCCTCAGCATCACATTAAAAAAAATGAATAAAATAAAGATATTGTGTCCTTTTACAACTAAAAATATTAAAAGAAAAAAAAAAAGAACATGGTTGTGGCCTCAGAATAAGTCTTTCATCTTTCTCTGTGCTCATTCCTTTGATGGGTCATTTAGATTCATAGATTGGACTGGCCTCCTAATGTTGACAAGCTGTCCTCTGAACATAGCATATATAATAACCTATTTGATATCTCCTCTTGAATATATAAATGAAACATGTCTAAAACGGAACTCCTAATTTCCCCCAAAACCTTGCTCCATTACCCATTACTATCAGTTTGATATTAATTCTATCTATCCTGTTTATGTCTGAGTCATCCTTGCCTATTCTCTAATGCTTATTTCTTTTCCAAAACCTTAGGTCTGCATCTTAAATTACCCCCTGCAATGTCAACTTGTGCTGTCACTTAAATTCAGCAGTCTAAAATCAAGCTCACCAGCTGTCCTGTTAAAATTATCTTCTTTTTTTCTCAATTTTTATGGTCTTACCACTGTATCCCTAGCACTGTCGTCGTCCATCCTCCTCCTTTCTCATTTTCAGTTCAGTCAGCCACCTTCTGCTTTTCCATTGTTGGTAACTAATTATTGCAGCCTGGACCATGGAAAGGGCTTTTAATGTTATTACCATACCTAGCATATCCTGCATACTGCTTCTGGGTTTCTTTTTGCTTTTTTGTTTTTGCATTACAATTCTTATTACATATATATATCACAATTTTTCATATCTCTGTTTATATATGAAGTACGTTGACACCCAATTCAAGTCTTCATACATGTACTTGGGATAATGATGTCCATCACATTCCACCACCCTTGCTAAACCCCTGCTCCCTCCCTTTCCCTCTTACCCCTCTTCCCTATCTAGAATTCATCTAATCTTCCCATGCTCCCCCTCCCTACCCCACTATGAGTCAGCCTCCTTATATCAGAGAAAACATTCAGCATTTGTTTTTTGAGGATTTATTAACTTCACTTAGCATTATCTTCTCCAACGCCATCTATTTACCTGCAAATGCCATGATTTTATTCTCTTTTACTGCTGATTAAAATTCCATTGTGTATATATGCCACATTTTTTTTTAATCCATTCATCCACTGAAGGGCATCTAGGTTGGCTCCACAGTTTAGCTATTATTGTGAATTGTGCTGCTATAAATATAAACATTGATGTGGCTGTGTCCCTGTAGTATGCTATTTTTAAGTCCTTTGGGTATATAGTCCGAGGAGAGGGATAGCTGGGTCAAATGAGGGTTCCATTCCCAGATTTCCAAGGAATCTCCATACTGCTTTCTATATTGGCTATACCAATTTGAGTCCTACCAGCAATGTATGAGTGTACCTTTTCCCCCACATCCTCTCCAACACTTATTGTTGTTTGTCTTCATAATAGTTGCCATTCTGACTGGAGTGAGATGATATCTTAGAGTAGTTTTGATTTGCATTTCTCTGATTGCTAGAGATGATGAGCATTTTTTTCATTCATATTTGTTGATTGATTGTATATCCTCTTCTGAGAAGTGTCCAGGTCTTTGGCCCATTTGTTGATTGAGTTATTTGATTTTTGGTGCTTAGCTTTTTGAGTTCTTTATATATCTTAGAGATTAGTGCTCTATCGGATGTGTGAGGGGTAAAAATTTGCTCCCAGGATGTGGGCTTTCTATTCACCTCACAGATTGTTTCTTTTACTGAGATTGCTTCTGGATTTCCTTCCTCTTTTTCTGTTATTACATTGCCTAAAATCCCCTCATGTTCCCTTTGCTTATCTAACATTTTCTCACTCTTCAAGTCTAATATGTATTCTCAGTTAAGATTTCTCAGACCACCTATGCAGATGTTTGTTTTTTTTTGAACCATCATATTATCTGTTATCTAGGAAATAGTGAGAGATGTGGAGAGAACATTGGGCTATGAGTCAGTAGACTTACAGAGTTTCAATCTTAGCTCTGATTCAGTTCCTCATATGGCCTCAGACAAGTCACTGTGGCAACCTGGGTCTAAGTTTTCTTTGTAAAATAAATGGGGTTGGATTATCTGATCAATTCTGTTTTAATAGTTTGCATGGTTATAAATCTGTGACTCAAATACAGGCTATTTCATATTGAATTACTGTGATCATATCTCCACTTGTAATTTTTTATAATTTACCCAAAATGTTACTTAATTATCTTTGTCTTTTGTTTTTACTATTTTTCTACTTTAAATATTCTACTACACTTACCCATTTTACCTTTTTATTATGAGTTTTAAGGTCTTCATTTCGTTGTAGTTATTTTTCTCCTAGGCAACAGCCAGTTTTCTTTCTTTCTTTTTTTATTTTGTTCTTCCACAATAGATACTTTACCCTTTCTAACAACATTGATGTGTAGAATTATTTTTCTATTCATCAAGCTGTTCTTGTGTCTTCATTTAACGGTTTTCTTGATTTGTTTCTCTGAGTCTAGTAGAAGCTTGGGTAAACTCTCTGGTCTACTTAGAGTATCATTCTGATACTTTCTTTCTCTGAAGAGAAATATTTTTAATTTCTTAATTAAAAATATTTTAATCTTAAATATTTTTAATTTTTCAACCATTTAAATAGGTTTTTAAAAAAACCCTCTAGGCCTATATGTCATAAAAAGAGGGTGACAGGGTAGATTTATAGTTTGGTCATGGATTGCAGTTTGCCAACTCTTGATTTAGAGAATGAATAATGAGTATTCATATCTCCCTGTGTGGTCCTCTTTTTCAGGAAGGTACTTAATGTTTTTTAGATGACAATGACAAACTAATACTACACCATTTCTCCTTGCCTTGTATATTATAGGTGCTGAAATTTGATGCCTATTTCCAGGAAGATGTTCCTATATCAAGTGAGGAACATTATAGAATCCGTCAAGTGAAAATTTACTACTATCTAGAAGATGATAGTATATCTGTAATGGAGCCTGTTGTTGAAAACTCTGGCATCCCTCAAGGCAAGCTAATCAAACGCCAGCGTATAGCCAAGAATGATGTAGGAGACCATTATCATTGGAAAGACCTAAATCGAGGAATAGACATAACCATGTATGGCAAAACTTTCCGAATTGTTGACTGTGACCATTTCACACAGGTATATTATGTATTTGTGGAAGTTGTGGGATCTTAGGCATCATTCTCACTTATAGCCAGATAAGTTCGTTTCTTAGAGTAATGGGAGGACACTGATAATCTGTCCTGTGTGAATTATTATGTAGGTTAACTTAAGTATTGGTGTGCTATGTGTTGATATGTGCCAACACTATTTGAAACATTATTTTTTTAGAATGACATTAATACAGATCCACTCAAAATCAAGCTCTACCATAGCTGAATCATTTAGTAAGAAACCAGTTGCAGTGGCAATTCAGATAGGAAGTAGGAAAGGTAATGCCTTTAATGGGATAGAAGTAGGGAAGAGGAAGAGGCATTGAACATTTTAAGTTCAAGTTTATAAAGACAGTACCACCTCTATTAACAAATAGGAGCCCCAAATTTCTATGTGTAGTTTATATAGTTTTTAAACTATATTTTGCTATATTTGAGGGAAATTTATCTGATGGATTTCTGAAAAAAATTTTTTTTTAATATTTTATATCAAGAAAAGTCCTTCACTTTCTCTATTTTGTAAATTTTGATTTTTTTATGCAAAATTGGCTTTTCTTAATACATGTGATATGATGACTTTTCTTTAGCATAGAGTATAAATATTAGGAAGTCAATACAAACTTTTTCAGTTTAAAGAATTTCTAGCAGCAGGCTTTTATGCCCTTAATCTCATACTACTTAATGCCAAATGTGATTATTACATGCACTGAGCTCCTATGAATTCATCCATTTTTTATTTGATAACTTATTTAATAAATATTTACTATATACAGAGGCTAAAGGGAAGTGAAGTAGTTATAACTATAATGTCACCAAAGACACTGAATTAATAAATACTGAACCATTGTTCTTGGGACAAATGCAGGTTTAGGTTTCTTCTGATCTCTGGTCAAAACATTTTTGTCAAACAATATATACCTTTTTTATGTATGTTTCTGTTCAAAGACACTTGATTTAATATATATTTCATTCATTAACATTGAGCTCATGACCAACAGCACTATAACTCACACCCCAAAGAATCTTATGTAACACATGTATTTTCTCCATCATTGGAGAAAATGGTGTGTTAGCCAATTGAGGCTACCATAACAAAAGCTCTACACTTTAAGACCTTTTAAACAACAAAATAACCAAGAAAAAGGAGAAAAATGAAAAACGTGGCAAAAAAGATCCTTTTTTATAATGTGAGAACTAGAACAAGAAGGCAAATCTTCACCTTTTCTACCTCCTCTGAGAATGAATACATCTGGGCAACTCAAATTTTCTGCAACCTGTGCATGTCTGTGAATGACAACAATATGTAAGAAATATTGATTTTAGGGTTACAAGTAGATTTTAGCAAGTAGGGAAATTCACAAATATGGAATCCATGAATGTTGAGGATCAGTGTATTTTAATAACTGAAATTTGACTAGAGGTATATATTTCTACATTTTAAAACTTACATGTTTGAACTGGGCATGTGGCTCAGTGATAGAATGCTTGCCTAAGCATGCATGAGGCCTTAGATTCCAGCACTGCAAAAAAATAAAATTATATAAATAACTAAAAACATACACATCTAATTGGTGTTCTTCATTAGGGGTGGACCTCTGAGAGGATAGAGCCCTCTCAGAGCCCTTTTCACAGTCCTCTCATAGCCCTTTTTCACTCTTTTGAGACAGCGTCACACTCAGTTTCCCAGGCTGGTCTCAAACTTGCAATCCTACTGTCTTAGCCTCCCACGTCTCTGGGATTACAGATGTGCATCACCATGTTCAGCTATTATACTTTTAAAAGGATGGAATGTCAAGTTGTATTAAAATAAATGCCAGAATTTATGGCATGATTTGAATCCAGAAACAGCGCCTCTCACCACCTCCTCACTGCTCCAAATAAATATTTGGGGCTACAGTCTGAATTGACTAAACACATTAAAAAAGTAAATCTCCAGAAATCATAGATCTAGAATATATTATTTTTTTGTGAGAGTATTGTTGCTAGTGTAACAGGTATAAATCCTACTGCAAGAAATATTGTTTTGTTTCTAAAAAAATAACATAAACCACCTTGAGACACAGTCTAATTTGGCTGGTATGTTAGGCAGTTGAGGTTACCATAACAAAAATACTGTAGACTTGATGGCTTAAACAGTATAAATTTATTTCTTCTGGATGCTAGAAGTTGGAGATCATGGTGCTAGATAATGGAGGGGTTCTAGTGAAGGTTTTCTTCCTGGCCTGCAGACAGCCCAATTCTTTGGTGCTCACATGGCTTTTTTTCTTTTTAAAAAATATTTGTTTTAGTTATACATGGGCAAAATATCTTTATTTTGTTTATTTATTTTTATGTGGTGCTGAGGATCCAACCCAGGGTCTCACACATGTGAGGGCGAGCACTCTACCGCTGAGCCACAACCCCAGCCCCTCACATGGCTTTTTCTTAGTGCATGTGCATGGAGAAAGAGAGGGAAAGAGAGCATGGGCACAAGTGAATACTCACAGAAATACTTTTATTTTTCTGACTAATCCTATTGGATCAGAGCCCCACCTTTTTTGGCCTCATTTAACCTTAACTACTTACATACATAAAGGCTCCATCTCCAAAGAGTCATGTTGGGCATTAGGGATTTAACATATGAATTTGGGGGGAGGGGGGTACATAAACATTCCATCTATAACAGCTAGTGTTTCTAATCATTAAACTTTGCCAAAAATTCCAAGCCCTAAGAACAACAAGAAATCAGACCCACTCCTAGGCCAAAAGGATCATATAGGCAGGGCCCACAGACTGTCCAGAGACCAAGGGCACCTCCCTGATGCTTTGGTACTAGTAAGATCCTGGATCTCAGAATAACTGAGATTGGATGGCCTGTCTGGGGCTACATGTGTACTTCAGAGAACTGACACTGAGCACATATATAGGTCCTGCTTGTTTGAGGCCTACCAACCTGTAAATTTTCTAATCTGGAGAAACTTTCTGCTTTCTCATTTCTTGCCTCAAAAATTATTCCATTTTCTCTTATCTTCTTGGTACATTTTAGAGTAATATCTTCAAAGAGTTTAGGCTTCTTTAAAAAATAGGAAAACTTCAGGAAGCTTCTGTTCCTGCCAGAATTGCTAAGGTAAAATTTAAAAAGGGCTTGCTTCTGTTGGATGTAATAGAAGAGAGTAAAACACCCATTAAATGCTTCAGTCAATAATTGTGTTACACTAATGCTTCATTTCAAGAGAAAATTTTATAGTTATTATCTCTAGTTCAATAGTTTTAGTGGAATTTAAGATTATAATATTTTCATACTGAAATTATATTGGATATAATATCTAATAAAACTTAATACTGACTTCACATGCTAGTTAGCAGTAGAGCTAACACTCAAACCAATGTATCATGGCCCTGAGTTCTATATAATTTTTTATTGAATTGTCCAAAAGAAAGCTATATGATTCTCAAATTTTTTTTGTTAATTTCCAGTTCAAAAATGTCCTATTCCTTTCTGATATTAATTAAGGTACAGTTTATTGCACTTTTTCTTTCTTTTTTAAAAATATTTTGTTAGTTGTTGATGGACCTTTATTTATATGTGGTGGCCGAGAATTGAACCTAGGGCCTCACACATGCTAGGCAAGCTCTCTATCACTGAGCCCTAACCCCAGCGCCCTATTGTACTTTTTCTTTTCTTTTCTGAACTGGGACTTGAACCTCTGAGCTATATCCCAGATTTTTTTTTTTTCCTATGCTGGCAATTGAACTCAAGGGTGCTCTTACATCCACAGCCCCTTTTCAGTCTTTTGAGACAGCATCACACTCAGTTTCCTAGGCTGGTCTCAAACTTGCAATCCTACTGTCTTAGCCTCCCAAGTCTCTGGGATTACAGGTGTGCATCACCATGCTCAGCTATTATACTTTTAAAAGGATGGAATGTCAAGTTGTATCAAAAGAAAATTACTGGTACAGAATAGAGGACACAGAAACCAATCCACAAAACTACAACTATCTTATATTTGATAAAGGGGCTAAAAGCATGCAATGGAGGAAGGATAG